TCCGAGCTCATTCTCGTAGCATGTACAGACCATTGTAGTTCTTCATTCCTTGTCAACACGGTACTTACAGCATGTGGGGAAGTAACTGTCACGAAGAGAGTTGTCGTTTGCTGTCACCGTCTCCGAAAATAACCAGAAACAACCCAAATCTCTCATGTCACCACGTTCAATAGATGGCATCGGTTCTTGTCAATGTTAAGCAATGAGTTACCAAATGTGTTGTCTGATCCTGCGATGAACATCCAATACCACTGGCAGAAACAAATGAGTTAATAATAAACAGGTGACCAGGAGTGATGATAGCCACCCAGGGATCTTAATTAAAAATAATAATCATTAGAATAATAATTTACAGCCTTTTGTCAATCCACTGCTGGACGAGGACCGCCACGCGCTGTGTGGATCGTGGGTGTCATTCGCCCATACTTCATCGCAGGTTGGTGATGCGTGTACATATGTATGTTGAACTTCTTTCACACCGTACATGGCCAACTGTATTAATCAGAGGTGCGGGGCAAGGACAAGACACTAAACACGAAAAATGAGTTCTTGATAAATTAGTTTTCAATCTAGATTTAAAAGTGCACATCTCCCGAGGCATCCTGAGAGAGCAGAGATGTGTACGAAGCATTGACGTTTGCACGTAGGCGTACAGAACACTGCATTTTGCTGCACTGGCCCCTGATGCCTACAACGTCGCTCCGCAGCTGCCTGTAACACCGCTTTTATCCATGGTGACTGCCCATCCAACCACTGTCCAGGCTCGCGCCTGCTTAGAATCCGAGATCTGACGAGATCGGGCACATTTAAGGCGATTCGATCGAAGTGAACCAATGCACACATTATTTGATCAGTTAAGGGATTATCGATAACAATCATCGCCCCATACTGGCAGACTCGTGCTCCGGACTCATGGTGGTCTCTTTGAGTTCTCAGCTTTATCGAAACTTGTACAGGCGAATTGATGAAACAAATATCATTTGATTTTCCATGCATGTAATATACTACATGATCGATGTTGTATGTAATTGCTTCAAAAGCTGCTATCGATACGAGAGGGGGAAATACATTTAGACTGATGTGGGCCAGTGAAATGTCTTGCATGTTGGTGAAGTTGAGATGTATGAGGCTATCCAAATGAAACTATTTGGTGTTAATACACGAGGAATGGTGACGCAGAGGATGACGGATGTTAGGAGAGAAAATAGCTCTCTCAATTCAAATCCTGAAGAAGCTCCCAGCACGTGGAGCAAAACGTCGGACACGCGGCACGATCAGAAAGGTGCATCAAAGAGTTGTACGGCGGTCGTAGAGACGCCGAACACAAATGGAGCGGGACTGGAATTGTGGGTTTTAACAAAGCGCAAACAGCGCTCTGTTCGGAGAGGTCGCTACAGTTTTGGGAGGCAGTGAGAAAAAAAATTAATCAGCAGCAGCAGCTTAACGCTGCGTGCTCGCTGAGGCAAAATAGCGGAGAGAAGGGAGTGGATTCCACACAAGGGCAGTGTGCGATGAGCTGCAGAGTGGGATGTGAGGGAGGAACACGGCAATTGCCATGGGAGGACCCTGAAAACAACAACGCCGTAGAACGCCTCTTATCTGGGGCCGTCTAACCATGCGACCAATATTATGCCCGGGAACTATCGGGTTGGCAAACACTCGGTCCAATTGTTACTAACTATACTTACAATGCACATTTTTTAGTTTTCAGTTTTCTAGAACGTCTTCCAATGAATCCGATTATCAGCGATGATTATTATTGTCAGGGATACGTGGAGTAGGTTCAGCAGGAACCTTCGATCTGCGATCTTCGTCCATTACTAACATTACTACAATGACATTGGATATATTGTATTAAATGTATTGAGGATGAACAGGTTAATTCTGAACCAACAGAATATACCAAATAAATGAAGCTGAAATGAAAACTGAAACTCTGGATTTGAATGTCCAAAACCGGTATTTTTTGCTCCAATCCAGAAACCAATCTGGCTTTGACACAAACTGGATTCAGATGACATACTGATGACATACTGATGACATACTGAGATGATTTCAAACAGACAACTGCCATGCCAGTGTAAAGAAAAACATGTTTTCTCATTTTCGTATAGCTTATTGTAAAAGCCCATATTTTGTATGTGAATAAAAAATATGGCCCGTGCATATGATGTGTTTAGTATATAACCGGGAGAACGTATAAATATAATCTCTGAAATATACGGCCAGTGTAAATGTTTTTTTTGCAATCTGTACGGCAACATATTTAGTCTGTGCTGTGATGTGTTTATGAACCCAACTGCATTAAGTGTGCGTTTTAATTGTGCTGTGTGCTATTTAGGTCATTATAATAACCGCATAAATTATCTTCCCTTTCTGTTAAATGTGCTTCTTAGAATATGTACGCTGCTGAACACCCATAACTACACATTTTCGGAATTATTCTCGACTCAAATTCAATTATAATTCCCAATTCGTTATAATTTCTGTACTGAAATGTATTAGAAATATCTTATGTGTCCTCTAGTTCGTTCTAACTGCGTCCTCTTGAGGTCTACATTTCACGTATTTACGGCATTCACAGTGGTATAAAAGAGCGTACGTGTATACAGTAGTATGTGGTAAAACTTTGATGAAATAGCACATCATTCCATGTCATTCTGATAATTACTGAGCGGAGCTTGAGGTGTATGGTGGTAATGTTCGAGGTTAAGTAAATCATTTGGAATACGTGAGGTGGAAAACACTGCATGAGTTTGATATTCAATTATTGTAGTACCACATCGCTGTGGCTATGCATTTGACGGTGTGATTATTGAGAACGTGACAATGTGACAAAGGTGGCCAACGTTGTCACCGACGGCACGTCGTGATGTGTTTCGAATGAGCGCAGTCAGATTACTTTGCATTTTAAATGTAATTATCAGATTATCCAAGGCGCGATGGGTTGTTACTAGTTACTGTATAGCGCATTCCCCTTGGATATTCAAGCTGCCGAAAGCGATGCTTACGTGCTATGACGCCTTCACGATACAGTGGTGCAATCGTTAAAGTATGGCCTGCGACATGGTCCATATTCTCCTCCACCAATTACATGGAACAGTCAAACGAGCCGCCTGTGTATAGCATTGTGCATGCGTGTGTGTGGTGCTCCAACAGTCTGTTAAGGCTGTACCAGGGATCTTTGCGTTTTGTGTGGCGCTTGCTACAGCCAGCCCCCTTGTGTGCTCTGCTGGCCTTCATAGGTGCTCGTTAACAGCACTAGCCCCAACAGTCTATGTAGGCTACACGAGGCATCTTTGTCTATGGTTTGAAGGTGGAGCGGTGATGGTTGTGGTTGGCACATTCTGCTTTGAGCCCGGCGACCTGAGTGTGATTCTTAGCTCATTATCTGAACAAACACGCAGCCTCCCCTGGGTCGACTCAGCCTGAAATTGTGCCATGCTTGAGCATTAGCACTGGGGAGACAAAGGCGGTCAGAAGTAGTGTTAGCCAAACAAACCCCCCTTGTGTTGCTGTGCCGGCATTTGCCCCAACACCTTGTAGGGGGATTTTTGTCTTTTGTGTTGATGTCAAGTGGCCATTCAAATGGCAGTGAGATCACGACACTACCATCTCAGTGTCCTGTGTTCAGATCTTAGCCACGTAGACCAGTGGCAATTAGTATTTGAATCTGGCCTGGGTGCCTCCTAGATTAGATATCTTGTGAGTGTCAACATCAGCGCTGGGAAGACAAAGGCTGCGAGTTAGCCGTGATGCCAACCCCCACCACACATCACCCGTCTGTGTATATTATACCAGCTCTAATGGGTTTCTCACGGACATATTTAGCCCCAGAAGCCAATGAAATCCAAGCCAAATAGAGGGATCTTAGCTAATATCAAAAACAAAAGTGTGATTATATTTACCGCTCAGTCACGAGTGTTGTGTCCTGGCTGCCGACGACGATGATGACGGGTGTAGCAGCGCGCTTTGTGAGTGTGTGAGTGGGCAGGGGAACGAGAGGTGGGGTAGGGATATTGCTCTTTGTCACCGCGAACTCGGCGTGAGTGATGCAAACAGTCTCATGGCGTTTACGCAGACGACAAATATAGCCCATGTCAACGACAGAAGCATATTCTCTGTCAAGCCGTTGCATTAAGTGGAGCATTTGGAAGAAAAAAACCCCCTAATTTTTTGGGAAAGACATTTGCACCGACCAGCAGCCACCACTTATTCGAATGTTGGAGCGTTTGAAAGCATCGGGCAGATGTGTGGATAAAGCGACATTCCCTCCCCCACCGCCACCACCCCACACACAACACAGACCTCCACTGCGCTTCCCTGGAGGGTGCGGATACAGGAGAGGAGGAGACTGCGATGCAGGGGTGAGGGACAGATTGGGATTTAGGATGGACACCCTTGCAGTCCACTCGACGGTACAACGTCGCACATCCTTCCGTCGCATATCCGGACACGACCAATGAATCGCCTATGCCCAGTGCGCGCAGAGTGTAACTGACATTTAAGATAGAGATTCGCATATCCGACCTTGCCACGCATCCGCCTACATCTCAGCGAGTCGGACATGTGACAATGGACCATAAATGGCGTGACTAGGAGATGACACGTCATCACCAGCCATGGTCAATCCACAGCTGGATGAAGGCCTCCCTAAGCCACCGCCACCACTCACGATCCTGCGCTGTAATAATTCACCCGGCAGATATGACACATTTCATCTCGAAAAAGGTTTACATTCAAGTTGTGGCGTTACATATCACAACACGCGTATACAGCAGCCCCAATGTATGCACACACACACACATACATCGTATGTATATACACAACGTAATGAGTGAGCAGAGGCTTGGGGTGAGTGGGTGGGTGGGTGGGGAGAATGGGATTGGGAATGAATTTTACTTTGGAGAGGAGGGAGGGCGAGGGGATTTGTCGGCTGGAAGAGGACGGGGAGGGAGTCTGGGACGTGGGAGGCGGGGGGCTGATGAGTGGGGCAGGGTGCGCGTGTGGGAGGAGGAGGGGGTTGAGGTTTGTGGCTTCGACATGGGATGGGTGGATGATGGATCAGAGGCACAGAACTCGCACTCGCGGCGTTATCGAGGCGCTCGCCACCGCTGCGCGCAGAGCCGTGCCGTGTGGCGGAGCAGAGCGCCTTCGCCGCGTGTGTGTGTAGGGATGCCGTGGAGCGTCTTCGTGTCACAAGCCTGCGAGCCGCCCCGGTGTTAATGAAAGAAGAAACGCGGACGTTGGGGAGTTAATTATCCACTGCGCGAGTCTTCTTTGATTATTTCTGTTACCTCGAGCCAAAACAAGGCAAACTCTCGTCACATTTCCCTCGAGTTCTCTCTCTCTCTCTCTGCGCCCTCAATTAAACGTTGGGGCCATAAAGTTCACGCGGAGGCCACGCTTGTGTATGTGTGTGAGAGAGAGAGAGAAAACAACACACACGCATTTATTTTTGAAGGCTCAGCCCATTGATCTAGCAGCTGTCGGAGGACATGAATCGGAGAGGTGCGTCTCGTCTGGCTCTCATCACCGCCAGCGTCAAATTGGGCAGCATCACCCTCGCCGTCCTTGCCATGTGCACACCCTCCGGCCTCGCCGGGCTCGTCGTGCCAGAGGGGCTCACAGGGAATGGAAGTCTCTGCTCCTCAGAAGGTGGCCTCTGTACGGGAGGTACGTGAGTGTGTGTGTGAGTGTGTGTATGTGTGTATGTGTGAGTGTGTGTGTATGTGTGTGTATGTGTGAGTGTGTGTGAGTGTGTGTGTATGTGTGTGTGTATGTGTGTGTATGTGTGAGTGTGTGTGAGTGTATGTATGTGAGTATGTGTGTGTGTATGTGTGTGAGTGTGTGTATGTATGTGTGTGTGAGTGTGTGTGAGTGTGTATGTGTGTGTGTGAGTGTGTGTATGTGTGTGTATGTGTGTGTATGTGTGAGTGTGTGTGAGTGTATGTGTGTGAGTATGTGTGTATGTGTGTGAGTGTGTGTATGTATGTGTGTGAGTGTATGTGTGTGTGTATGTGTGTGTATGTGTGTATGTGTGAGTGTGTGTATGTGTGTGTGTGTATGTGTGTGAGTGAGTGTGTGTGAGTGAGTGTATGTGTGAGTGAGTGTGTATGTGTGTGTGAGTGTGTGTGTGTATGTGTGTGTATGTGTGTGTATGTGTGTGTATGTGTGTGTGTGTGAGTGTGTGTGTATGTGTGTGAGTGTGTGTGTGAGTGTGTGTAGCGGTTAGCGCGCTGCGCTATGAACCTGGCGACCCGGGTTCGATTCCAGCTCACGGTCAACACCAGTGACGATTATCTGAGCCGGTCCCGGGCCTCCCCTAGGTCGACTCAGCCTCAAATGAGTACCTGGTGCGGTGTGTAAATATCGCCACTAGGGAGACAAAGGCGGTCGGGCGTGGTGCTGGCCACCCACCCCCTCGTGTACCGTTCCGGCCTCCATAGGTGCTCGCTAACAGCACTTGCCCCTACAGTCTGTTAAGGCTATACGGGGGATCTTTGTCTCTTTGTGTGTATGTGTGTGTGTATGTGTGTGTGTATGTGTGTGTGTATGTGTGAGTGTGTGTGTGAGTGTGTGTGTATGTGTGTGTGTATGTGTGTATGTGTGAGTGTGTGTGAGTGTGTGTGTGTGTATGTGTGAGTGTGTGTGTATGTGTGTATGAGCATGTATGTGAGTGTGTATGTGTGAGGGTGTATGTGTGTATGTGAGTGTGTGTGTGTGAGTGTGTGAGTGTGTGTGTGAGTGTGAATGAGTGAGTGTGTGAGTGTGTGTGTGAGTGAGTGTGTGAGTAAGTGTGTGTGTGAATGAGTGAGTGTGTATGTGTGTGTGTGTATGAGTGAATGTGTGTATGTGTGTGTATGTGAGTGTGTGAGTGAGTGTGTGTGAGTATGTGAGTGTGTTAGTGTGTGTGTGTGAGTGTGTGAGTGTGAATGAGTGAGTGTGTGAGTGTGTGTGTGAGTGAGTGTGTGTGAGTGAGTGTGTGAGTAAGTGTGTGTGTGAATGAGTGAGTGTGTATGTGTGTGAATGAGTGAATGTGAGTGTGTGTATGTGCGTGTATGTGAGTGTGTGAGTGAGTGTGTGTGTGAATGTGTATGTGAGTGTGAATGAGTGAGTGTGAATGAGTGAATGTGAGTGTGTGTATGTGTGTGTGCGCGAGAGAGAAAGAGCGCACAGCGCGCGTTCTTTTGTCGCTGCACTATGGGTGCCTGTGTCGTGGTCGAGGCGAGGATGCTTCTTTGTTTTTGACGCGGTGCAATTTGTCTCGCCGGGAGTGGTGGCGCACTCCAAGGCTGCATCCTCCTCCTGCACGGGGGGTGGGGGGGGGGGGTGCGGGCTCATTGGGGGCACGAAGCAGACATTCGTTCTTGGAACCCCCCACACCCCCCACTATGCATTTAATTAAATCCGAGCGAGATGACAGAAGAGATATATAGCAGTCATTAGACAAAGATGAAAGGGAGATAATAGCAACGTAGATTTAAAAAAAATCGAGATGTAGAGAGGTGAGAGAATTGAGATGCGGCCAAGATAACGTTGAGGGGGATGAATTGGCCTATTAATGTTAATCAGTTATTGGGTTTATTAGAAATACAATTTGAGCTGATATATGATTCACACCCCTGGAGCCCTACGCCCGTTGCTTGCTTGACTTCAGCCTCGCGCCTGCCACAGCTCCGCCAACTTGGAGGTGGAGCTGGTGGACGATGCAGAGATTGAGATGCAATGTGTCAGACTCAGTGGCCTTCGGGGCATCCTGCCAGAGGGCAACAGCAGCACGTACACGGTTGACTTATATTTCCTTTTAAGGGTTGTCTCCTTGTTTTGGGAGGTTTTCTCCAGTCACTCCAGTTTCCTCCCATATGTACTGTAATAAAAACACAAAATACTCAAAGATATTGGAAAACTATCACAAGCAATGAATCCTGAAAAGCTACGAAATACAGTGACGTTGTTCTGGATAAATTACGGATATTTTGGTTTGTAAATTTAAAGACGATGAATAAGTGTGCCGTGAGCACAATTGTGATCTTAAATAAGTAATTATAATAGGCCACTTAAACGCGTTTACAGGCCTACATTTGTGTGTGTGTTGTTAGTTGTGTCGGCATTTTCCACCCACTGATTCATGACACATTCCCTTATGCATGTTCGATTCTGTTTCTCTGAAATCTCTGTTACCGCAACACTTACACGCGTTGCTTTTGTGGCTCTATCTCTGCCTTGGCGGTCTTACAATGCGTCATTTATTTATTGGATGTTGATTATTACTGTATTTACATCTGTTCGCTTTTCACCTGAGTAAGTGATGCACCTGGATGTGCTTCGTTTGTTTTTTGGACACATTTTTAAAATCAAAATTGTATGTCGTACACTGCATCCACGTTGCGCTTCGTCAAGACTGGGCACGGTGCCGATAGCTCTTGCTTATTCGCCCAAGCCAAGGGTTCCACGATTTAAACAAGCTCCGTCACGTTGGCCTCCTTTCACCTTTTGCGGCAGCCAATCCCTTTGTTACAGTGACCCCGGGTTTCCTCTGCGCGTGTCACGGCTGACAATGACCGCGTTCATTGCTTGAAAACGTTTCTCTCCTGACGTGTCTTTGTCTTCTTCTCAATTGCCTTCAAGGCCCACCGGGGCCGGCTTGGGGTGGGGGGGGGAGGGCGGGCACACCCCATCACGCAAACTTAGCTGGGGCAAGAGGCATGGAAAGAGCGACACGGGAAGCCCGGCGAAATGTTGCGTGCGCCAAAATGTCACGTGCGTGACGTACGATTTACGCGCAGTGCCGTCGACCGTTCGTATTCATTCACAGCCAGCTCCCCGTTGAAGCAATGGCATTTCTGAAGAGCCACGTAGCATGTCACAGACCCTAAATCGGCGGCGACATATTGAGAGTTTATAAAGGGTGGACGGGCTTGGGCACGGCAGGGCACGATGCCGGACGCCGGGTGAATGGGGGCGATGGACGAGGCTTGATGACGGAATTACAGCCCGATGAGAGAGAAAGAGAGAGAGACGGAGCGAGGACACCAGTCCATGGCACAGGAGTGAGACGGATGTCAGCACGCACCGGGGGGCCCCTAGAGGGGTGGCGACGGCGTGTGCGGGGAGGCCTTCATCTGGCAGTTGGATAGACAACAGCCGGTGGCGATGATGACGGCGACATAGCATATACACAAACTTGCATGTCATCATAATGGCATCGGTTTCTCTCGAAGAAAGCCTCAACGAGTCCCAAGACTCTTATTCGGGAGGGTTCTGGCTGTGGCACGTTTTGCCAATTCCCTTTTAATCAGAGGTTTGCGTATAGGGGAGGAGGAAGATGGAGTAACCAGAGAAACCCCACCGCGCCTGCACACGGCTGCTAAGGGACCAGGTGTACTAATGGAGACGTACACGACCCGCCTGCTGCACTGCCATCGCTTGGCCAACTCGCAGGGCAGCGGAGTTGCGCAGCCTCGTACGTCCGTGCGCGATCCACCAACCCTCAGCTTTCTAAAGCTCTGCAATGCGGTCGGCTGCCACGATGCCCGGCTCGTGTCGTGAATCGTTAAGCACCGTTTGTGTGCGGGATTTTACAACGGGCCGCTGTTGTTAAACACGACGTCCCAGGGTACCCTGCAGACCCATTCAGAGATCGCGACGCATGTCACAACGGCGTGGTCTTCGTTTCAATGTTTTTGTTTGTTTGTTAGTTTGCTTGCTACGGACGAGGGCGAGATGCACGAAACACAAAACGGGGCTCCCTTAGCAGACTGAAACTCAGCAGATGTCGGGGCACTCAGACCAGAGGCAATTGACTCTCGCGCTGAGCAGGGACACGGTCTGCGTGTTTGTGGCAGAGGGAGCATCCGTGCCCTTTGCATTCTGCTGCATTGATTGGGTCACTGAGCGCCGATGTTAATCATGGTATTATCTCTATTGGCATATTGTCTCTTCAAATCGCATGCAATTGCACGTGTATAGTGTACTACATTTGATACACAATTTCCCCTAAATTTTAACCTGAGTAGAATGAAAAAAATATATATTACATGCCCTTATATACACTGATGACTACCCTCATAGACTGCCGGGGCGAATACTGGCAGTGAGCACCTATTGTTCACGAACTACGGACAAAAAATAAATAACAGGGATTCCCCGTACGACCTACGCAGACTGAAGGCAAGTGCCGTTCACGAGAACCTCGTAAGGTTGACACGGTGCGTGAAGTGGTGCGGGTGGCCAGCACCACGCTCGGCTGTCCTCTCTCTCCCCAGTGCTGATGTGTTACACACGCCACCAAGGTGCTAATGTAAGGCCGAGTAAACCTCAGAATAGCCCAGGACTCGTTCAAACATCGCTTCGCCACTGATGTTAGCCGTCGTCGGGAATTGAACCAAGGTCGCTGGGTTTATAGCACACATTGCAGAGTACATATAGCAAATACGCATGAGAGACTACATACGCAGCATATTACAAAGACAAAGATCACCCGTTTTAGCCTGAACTAAATGGAGCAAGTTTTGTTAGCGAGCACCTGCGAAGACCAGAAAACCGCCCATCTTCCCAGTGATTATGTTTACACACCGCACCAGGTACTCATTTGAGGCTGAGTCGACTTAGATGAGGCACAGGACAGGGTTAAGATAATCTTCACTGTTGAGCGGGAATCGAATTCGTGTCGC